TCTGAGCAAGTAAACAATAGAACAGTTTCGGTTACTTAATTCGTGATAATATATGAGCTCAAAACAAAAGACTGGCATCTGTGTTTGCTTCTTTGAAGTTTGACGAGCTTCATAACGATATCCCTCTATTAACTATACTCACACTGTACATCTCCTATATTTGACCTAACAATCAATTTTTATTATTTACACTCGAAAGGTTTTATCTTGAATTTTTACTATCCTGGCTACCAAGCCACTTCGTCATAGGTTAAAGCTTAATCGACATGTGAAATCCTCTGGGTACAATTTAGCTCCTCGAAAATCTGGTCGCAGTTGCTTAGGGGGTGTATAACTGAAAGTCTTTACGTTTTTCAACGGATAGCGATTTACAAGTATCCGGTGCATAGCGTTATTCTTTGAGCAAATGGGACCCGATGCCTCAGGGCACTCTGGCGTCATAGCTTCATTCTTAACAACTGTAATTCATTACTTTAATTTAAATCATAATTCTTCGACTGATCCGTGTGAAACACACCAACAAGTTTAACATCGCTTTGCACAAGGTTAGTGCACTTTGACCCACCCATGACCTAATATATTACGTTTTAAATTGTTGTCCTTGTATTGTTTCTCATAACTTCCTCAACCCAGTTTCTAAAATACAAAGTATCAGAAAACACTCCTGGGTCGCCGTTATTCATGCAGCCACCATTAGCCCAACTGGTAACACCCATTAAATACCAACGGCCATCTCGTTCACAGGTCAGCGGTCCCCCGCTGTCTCCTTTACATGTACCTTGACTCTGACCCAGGGTCCCCGCACAGCGCATGTGTGACGTCACCGGGTTTATGCCAGTGTAATGATTTTTACAAACTGTGTGATCCATCAGAGGGGCGGAAGTCTCCTGAAGAATGTCTGACGTCGAACCCAGAGGTCCAGACAGTCCCCATCCGGTGACGTAACAAGTGGTACCAACAGCAAAATCGAAGTCTGGAAGGCAGATTGGTGAGACATGCGCATCAAAGAGTATCGGTTGTTTGAGTTTCATCAGGGCGATGTCGTTTTCAAGGCTTTGCTGGTCGAATTCGTCGTGTAGGAAGATCTTCTCCACTGGGATATTTTGTTCCGTTCCTTCGTGCAATCCCCTATGAAGCTCCCCTGAAAGTTTTTTTGACACAAAATTATTAGTTATAGCAATACTGGTGAACGAAAAATCAATATCACATTGTTGGTTAAACATTTAAGTCGACCTTGACAAAATACCAATGACGATATAAATGAACGCGAAACAATAGAGGTGGGTGGTTGTAGGAAGCACAGAGAGGCCTGTAAGCCAGTGCCGGTCGAAACTGACGATAATTTCCCATTCTCATATTCGGTGCAACAAATGGCCTACTTAAATGGGGACACCCACGTGAAGCAATCTCAAATGTCCCATTTGTGGACAAAAAATCTTATGTACTTACCAACAGTGACATTGAAGTTAGCTGCAGGCCTTTCTTTGAATGGACTTTTTACACAGTGTGCAGCAGTGACAATCCAGTAATGATCCAAGATGGAGGCACCACAGATGTGAGGGATACTCTCGCTGATGTCAAAGTATCCCAACTGTACCTGCCATGGCCACTCCCCAGATTTAGCGTACTCCCCTGCTACGATCTGAGGCGACCATGAATGATACACACGTTTAACACCACAAGGACCTAGCGAGGAAAAAAGAAACTATCTTAAAATCAGGTTAAGGACGTTACACGTTATTAGAGCGGTTTATTTTCCCCATCGGCTAGATGTGAAGGCACGTTCATAAAGTTTATGTATGTTATAAAACAAGAAGCGCGCGTTTTGGTTTTTAGGACGCATTAGTGAAAACGTTCGTGGATAACATTGAGTTAAATTAAAAGAAATGTACCTCATTAACTTTATTATTGTGTCTAGACCCATAGCTTACCCCAAGTTGCCAAGTAATTTGGCATACTCATACGAAATAACAGATTTACCGACTTACCAGGATTAATACTTGCTCTTTGTGCAATGGATTGTCATGCAAAAGCTAATTAATACCACAACATTGTTTGTCCAGTTCATATTTTCTACAACTCAAGTCACTGACCTACAAATGTGACGTTCAGGGCGGCTCTTTCTCCAGGCCCAAAATCGTTGTAAGGTACACACACGTATGATCCATTATGCTCTGCTAGTGCGCGTGTGATGTTATGGGCACCAGTGGATGCATTAGACACTAGGATACCATTGTGGTAAATGTTATACGCAGTAACAGGTGGGTTAGCATTTGCGCTGCAAGTCAGGATAATTGACAAGTTTAACACTCCGACGTTATCCGGTATTGATGCCTCTAGTTTGGTGTCATATGGCTTATCTGTGGAACAAGAAAGATTGTGCTAGGATCAATTGAGGCGTGTGATCATAATACGAATCTTTAGGACTCCTCATATCACAACCCTGGTCTTAAAACGAACTTGAGCTCAGTGAGATATTTTCATATCTTCAGCCATTATAATATTCTTATGCGACAACACAAACATGCCAAATGTTTACTGCCCAACGGGCCTCAAATTAGAAGTTGTAAACCTATTTAACTATATATACTTTTAACATCAAGGCAGTACTGTCAATTATCTATTTCAAGCCTTAGCTATCCTGTTCTCAATCAAAGCAGCTGAATGCTAGCATACACTTTAATTGATCCTTTTTCTTGATTTTGTCATTACGAAGACTATTGTTTGTCATTAAACAGGTTTGCGTACTCACGTAACACGTTCAGAACAGCAGTAGCAGTATCAGGCAGCCCAACTCCATTCTTAGCTTCACACACGTACGTTCCTGTATCATGTCGACTCACATTCTGTAGAACAAGCTTTTGACCTGATGGAAACACTTTATTGCTGTCTCCAAGTTTAGTCCAGGAGATTTGAGGTACAAGACTCTCATATGGATAATAAGAGGTACCATTACAGAAAAATGACACACTTGCACTTTCGTTGACTGTCATGTTTCGTGGAAAGTGAATGATAGAGAAAGGACCTGGGGAAAGGAATTATCTAAATTAATAAGATACAACGTATTAACAACATCTACTGCGGGCCAACGTTACTAGATTCTTTCTTTTCTCCTTAGAGTTAGAGGATCTCGGAACAAAAATGAACAAAACATCTTCAACTGGTTACAATGATAACCCACTCGATATTTATGAGTATTACTCACCATTGACAAAAACTTGGACAGAACTGTTAGTGCCAACCCCAAGACTGTTGAGTGGCACACACAGATACGTGCCCGCATCATAGTATCTGGCTTTCTGGATCACGTGTATTCCGGTAAGACTGGTTCTAAGGTAGACACCGTCACGATAAAACTGGTATTGGCTGGGCCGCGGGTTTGCGTCAGTCACACAAGACAGTGCAATGCGACCGTTCCCACTGACTGCGGCATTCACTTTATCGGTAAATAATCTAGTGGATGATGGATTATCTACAAGGAAGAATAAAATTGTATTGAGACACAAACAGAACTGATAGGTCCACGTATTTGATTTAAACAAATATAAAAAAAAAATTATCGCTTCAGTATTTTCTACACTTACAAAGAACATCAATATATACTGATGTAGATATCGGATTTCCAACTCCATTATCAGCAACACATCTGTATTCCCCGCGATGTGACCGGTCAGCTGTCAAGATCTTAAGAGTATTTCCGAAAGCCACTGTGTTGCCGTCTCTAACTCTAACCCAGGACAGCTGAACTCTTGGTCTGCCTGTGGCATTGCAGTACAATGTAACATTCCTTTTGTCTTTTTCCAAAATGGTGATATTTTGTGGACTGTAGTCGATCGTTGGTGAAACTGTAAATAACAATTAAAACACATTAAGAATATACTAAATTACGGTTTTTAAAAGAACAGTACAATATGAGGAGAATGAGAAATCGGTTCAAGAAGCGTTACAGATGAACAATATTCAATATTTAATACCCTGTTCACACCAGCTAAACTAGTTAACTAAATAAGGTTTAGGTTTTTCGTATTTGTCGATAAGCTTTGCAGTCATTTTGAAAAGTCAAATTTCAAACTACCTTGCTCAATATTTTATTCAAGGTAAGATAAAGGTTGTGCACGCTATGAACTAATGGCGAAGGAAGGCAGTAGCTGCATTCGCCTTAAATAATTTCTATTTCAAACTACAGCGAACGATTCTTGTTTACCAACCTGAATAAAACAAGCACTGTTCTCTGAGCTATCGCATTTTAGTTCGACGCCGAAAAGAATTCATAACCTGAAATTTGTGCTGAGTGAAATTTTACAAGTCAGGAAACTATAGGAGAAAGTTATAAATACTTAAAGTTAACTTACAGTTGTCAATCTCAGCTGTAGCTACAGCGGAAATATTCTCGCCGCGCACACTCTCAGCCGTGCACTGGTAGGTTCCAAAGTCTGATTTCTCAGCATTTTGCACTCTCAGTGATTTTCCTGTGGGGTAGACTTTGTTGTTGTCGCCAATCTTTGTCCATGTTACCACAGGAGGTGGATTTCCCGTCGCATTACAGAAAATCTCAAAAGTGTCTGTTTCATTGGCCAGTTGATGGGCAGGAAAAATGGAATGGATATTTGGAGACTCTGTTGAAGAACACGAGCACATTAATATTTAGTCTGTGATTTTTCGTTCAAATGCTGCATTGTTATCATTGCAAGGAGTGTACGTAACAACAGTTACCAACACAAAGCGATACGAAAACGTATATAGACATTTAGTTTCTCTCGACATCGATTTCCAGATATAAAGGTGCCAATCTATTGCTTTCAGTGAAAACCAGTTCATCAGAAAAATAGGACTCTCCCTGGTACATGCGTCATTTTACTGGGTGTTCATTCGCACGTCTAAGTGTCTACTCTCTGCCACCAAGAGTAAACGGGTATTGACGTACAAACTGGCAAAATTCTTGGGGATGGAAGGGTGGGGCGCCCAAAAAGAGACACACACAGCGTCATCACTGCCTCCATCCTGTAATATAATTTCCGTACTCAATGAGTAGTGGTTTTTTGTCCAAAAAAGAAAAATGAATTTCCAAAGAGGTAACGTGTCGTTACTTCAAACTACCATTTTAAAGGACATAAATAACCACATGCAAAAGTAAGTACTTGAAATATGATGAAAAACACTTTTCTGACTAGCATGTTTGCTCTGGAACTTTCGGTTGAAAATAGGAGTGTTATATACAGCTACACAAATTACCGTACTCACCATAAAGAACAACAGTGACATTGACCTCCTCTGAAGCCGCAGTATTGGAGCAGTTACAAGTGTATTCCCCTTGATCTGCCGCTGTGAAGTTTCGAATATCATAAAGACTGTCATTGACGTTAACCAAGGCACCCTCATGGTAAATTCGACAAATTGGTTTGGGGTAGCCAAGAGAAGAACACCGTATTGTAACAGCTTCACCGAGAGCGGCTACATTAGCAGAGACGTTGGTACTGATGGCGGTGTCCCTCGGGAATCCTGCGGAAATAAAACATCACCTCAAGTCTTATAGTTTACGTGCTTAGAACAGGGTCAGGGAGGATAGGCGGACAAATTTAACTGAACAAGATTCAGTAATATATATGATAATGTACGATACGTGATATCAAGAGAGGCAAAATACCAACCTATAACGTTGAGCTGCGTCATTCTCGTGTCATTTGCCACAATATTAATCGCCGAACACTCATAGCTTCCACCATCTACAGAGGAGATGTTGACGAGAGTGATGTTACCAGTAGACACACTGTCTTGAAGAACAATGCCATTTTTCTTCCACACAACACGCGGTGTGGGCCGACCAGTTACTGTGCATACCAAAGTTACTTCTTTGCCAAGTTCGGCTGTTTGACTGGGAGAAATCCACAGAATTCTAGGGGGAACTGAAGAGAAAACATGTACGTAGTTTATAATATAAACAGTATACTCACTCTTAGAGACAATTAAACACTGTGATAAAAAAAAAAAAAAAAACATTTACCCAAACGCTTAACAAATTGCGTCTCACAATACTGGTCCAACAAAGAACCATGACACTGACGTCAATACCGTGGTAACGTTTTGTACATTTTGCAATGAAAAAGAATAACAATCGATTTGGAAATATCACTTTGAGCTGCGACCAAATTATCAGGACATGCGTTAAAAATAGACCTGTGGTCAGCCAGGAGAGTTGGACCGAATGAAGTCGGAAGCTCTCGTCAATTCTACAGACCTCCAAGCAATAATAAGCAGAAGTAAAAGTCATTTGTCACAATAGTTTAATATGTATCGTTCGCTCATAATGAATTTGTCACATTGCAAAACATGTGCCAAAGTGTGAGATGTTTTTGAGTTTTCTTTTTGTTAATTGTCTGTTTATTTACAATAAATTTACACCAGGAAATTGACAAAGTGTGAGATGTTTGGGATCAATGAGAAAACCAAGAAAGATAGCAAAACGCGTCTGTAACTTTTTAGTAGAAATATTCTTTATAATTCTCAAACGTTCAAACCCCACCATGTTACCACAGGGCATATTACCTAACGTTTCAGCCGTTGAGGCACACTTCGTATTTTCTAGAAACTCAACATCATCAATCGCGATATCACTGAATGCAGTACTGCCAACCACACCTTCAAACATGACCTACAGCAAACAGAAATACAAAGTCTTAAAGACACATTAAAGCAAGAAAAAAAGTATGTTAAAACGTTTCCGACGTGAAAAATGTGTCACCCGATATCTTCGGGAAAAGGGAACCTGTTAGACAGCATGTCATAACAAACACTCTACCTTAAGGTAAAGGTAGAGCTCCTGTTTATAGAACGAGAAAGAATGAAAATAAATGCTTAAGAGAGGTGGAGTCTTGCTATCAACACAGTGGGTGATAACATCTCGAACAAGTAAAGAGGCAATTGAAAAGAAACCATGGCCCGCTGTTTTTCTTCGCTGATATCTGGAATGTCAATTTAGAGATGACTGATTGTTTCGGCCATTGGTAGCTTATTTACCCCACTCTAGTTTTTAGACTAGAAGAAACAAAATTATCCTACCCTATATATGCCATCAAAATCAAGGGGCACCGTCGCTTTGTACCAACTGTTGCCTTGGTTGCCTGACAGCTGCCACAAAACCTGATCTCCAACCTTTACTCTGAGGCTACCAATTGAATGTCCATAGAGATGATAGTAGAAAACCATGCACGTGGCGTTCCCATTGCTTTGTATGTATGGTGATTCAAGACTAGCAGTTTCTCCCACGCTTCGTCCTGATGCTTCTATGTAGAAGTACAATCCTACAAAGTGAAAAAAGCAAACGCTCATTGCTTCTAGACCCGAAAAAAGTCATTTTCGACATGACTATATCCTTTCTTTGCCAAAAATGAACACGACTAAATATGGTCTCAAATCATGGAGATATTTTGCCGCAAAGAAACGGAACGAGCTAACAAATGATATTAGAACTAAAGAAGGCTTTAATGNCAATCTCAAATGTCCCATTTGTGGACAAAAAATCTTATGTACTTACCAACAGTGACATTGAAGTTAGCTGCAGGCCTTTCTTTGAATGGACTTTTTACACAGTGTGCAGCAGTGACAATCCAGTAATGATCCAAGATGGAGGCACCACAGATGTGAGGGATACTCTCGCTGATGTCAAAGTATCCCAACTGTACCTGCCATGGCCACTCCCCAGATTTAGCGTACTCCCCTGCTACGATCTGAGGCGACCATGAATGATACACACGTTTAACACCACAAGGACCTAGCGAGGAAAAAAGAAACTATCTTAAAATCAGGTTAAGGACGTTACACGTTATTAGAGCGGTTTATTTTCCCCATCGGCTAGATGTGAAGGCACGTTCATAAAGTTTATGTATGTTATAAAACAAGAAGCGCGCGTTTTGGTTTTTAGGACGCATTAGTGAAAACGTTCGTGGATAACATTGAGTTAAATTAAAAGAAATGTACCTCATTAACTTTATTATTGTGTCTAGACCCATAGCTTACCCCAAGTTGCCAAGTAATTTGGCATACTCATACGAAATAACAGATTTACCGACTTACCAGGATTAATACTTGCTCTTTGTGCAATGGATTGTCATGCAAAAGCTAATTAATACCACAACATTGTTTGTCCAGTTCATATTTTCTACAACTCAAGTCACTGACCTACAAATGTGACGTTCAGGGCGGCTCTTTCTCCAGGCCCAAAATCGTTGTAAGGTACACACACGTATGATCCATTATGCTCTGCTAGTGCGCGTGTGATGTTATGGGCACCAGTGGATGCATTAGACACTAGGATACCATTGTGGTAAATGTTATACGCAGTAACAGGTGGGTTAGCATTTGCGCTGCAAGTCAGGATAATTGACAAGTTTAACACTCCGACGTTATCCGGTATTGATGCCTCTAGTTTGGTGTCATATGGCTTATCTGTGGAACAAGAAAGATTGTGCTAGGATCAATTGAGGCGTGTGATCATAATACGAATCTTTAGGACTCCTCATATCACAACCCTGGTCTTAAAACGAACTTGAGCTCAGTGAGATATTTTCATATCTTCAGCCATTATAATATTCTTATGCGACAACACAAACATGCCAAATGTTTACTGCCCAACGGGCCTCAAATTAGAAGTTGTAAACCTATTTAACTATATATACTTTTAACATCAAGGCAGTACTGTCAATTATCTATTTCAAGCCTTAGCTATCCTGTTCTCAATCAAAGCAGCTGAATGCTAGCATACACTTTAATTGATCCTTTTTCTTGATTTTGTCATTACGAAGACTATTGTTTGTCATTAAACAGGTTTGTGTACTCACGTAACACGTTCAGAACAGCAGTAGCAGTATCAGGCAGCCCAACTCCATTCTTAGCTTCACACACGTACGTTCCTGTATCATGTCGACTCACATTCTGTAGAACAAGCTTTTGACCTGATGGAAACACTTTGTTGCTGTCTCCAAGCTTAGTCCAGGAGATTTGAGGTACAAGACTCTCATATGGATAATAAGAGGTACCATTACAGAAAAATGACACACTTGCACTTTCGTTCACTGTCATGTTTCGTGGAAAGTGAATGATAGAGAAAGGACCTGGGGAAAGGAATTATCTAAATGAGTAAGATACAACGTATTAACAACATCTACTGCGGGCCAACGTTACTAGATTCTTTCTTTTCTCCTTAGAGTTTGAGGATCTCGGAACAAAAATGAACAAAACATCTTCAACTGGTTACAATGATAACCCACTCGATATTTATGAGTATTACTCACCATTGACAAAAACTTGGACAGAACTGTTAGTGCCAACCCCAAGACTGTTGAGTGGCACACACAGATACGTGCCCGCATCATAGTATCTGGCTTTCTGGATCACGTGTATTCCGGTAAGACTGGTTCTAAGGTAGACACCGTCACGATAAAACTGGTATTGGCTGGGCCGCGGGTTTGCGTCAGTCACACAAGACAGTGCAATGCGACCGTTCCCACTGACTGCGGCATTCACTTTATCGGTAAATAATCTAGTGGATGATGGATTATCTACAAGGAAGAATAAAATTGTATTGAGACACAAACAGAACTGATAGGTCCACGTATTTGATTTAAACAAATATAAAAAAAAATTATCGCTTCAGTAATTTCTACACTTACAAAGAACATCAATATATACTGATGTAGATATCGGATTTCCAACTCCATTATCAGCAACACATCTGTATTCCCCGCGATGTGACCGGTCAGCTGTCAAGATCTTAAGAGTATTTCCGAAAGCCACTGTGTTGCCGTCTCTAACTCTAACCCAGGACAGCTGAACTCTTGGTCTGCCTGTGGCATTGCAGTACAATGTAACATTCCTTTTGTCTTTTTCCAAAATGGTGATATTTTGTGGACTGTAGTCGATCGTTGGTGAAACTGTAAATAACAATTAAAACACATTAAGAATATACTATATTACGGTTTTTAAAAGAACAGTACAATATGAGGAGAATGAGAAATCGGTTCAAGAAGCGTTACAGATGAACAATATTCAATATTTAATACCCTGTTCACACCAGCTAAACTAGTTAACTAAATAAGGTTTAGGTTTTTCGTATTTGTCGATAAGCTTTGCAGTCATTTTGAAAAGTCAAATTTCAAACTACCTTGCTCAATATTTTATTCAAGGTAAGATAAAGGTTGTGCACGCTATGAACTAATGGCGAAGGAAGGCAGTAGCTGCATTCGCCTTAAATAATTTCTATTTCAAACTACAGCGAACGATTCTTGTTTACCAACCTGAATAAAACAAGCACTGTTCTCTGAGCTATCGCATTTTAGTTCGACGCCGAAAAGAATTCATAACCTGAAATTTGTGCTGAGTGAAATTTTACAAGTCAGGAAACTATAGGAGAAAGTTATAANATTACGGTTTTTAAAAGAACAGTACAATATGAGGAGAATGAGAAATCGGTTCAAGAAGCGTTACAGATGAATAATATTCAATATTTAATACCCTGTTCACACCAGCTAAACTAGTTAACTAAATAAGGTTTAGGTTTTTCATATTTGTCGATAAGCTTTGCAGTCATTTTGAAAAGTCAAATTTCAAATTACCTTCCTCAATATTTTATTCAAGGTAAGATAAAGATTGTGCACGCCATGAACTAATGGCGAAGGAAAGCAGTAGCTGCGCGCATTCGCCTTAAATAATTTCTATTTCAAACTAAAGCGAACGATTCGTGTTTACCAACCTGAATAAAACAAGCACTTGTCTCTGAGCTATCGCATTTTAGTTCGACGCCGAAAAGAATTCATAACCTGAAATTTGTGCTGAGTGAATTTTACAAGTCAGGAAACTATAGGAGAAAGTTATAAATACTTAAAGTTAACTTACAGTTGTCAATCTCAGCTGTAGCTACAGCGGAAATATTCTCGCCGCGCACACTCTCAGCCGTGCACTGGTAGGTTCCAAAGTCTGATTTCTCAGCATTTTGCACTCTCAGTGATTTTCCTGTGGGGTAGACTTTGTTGTTGTCGCCAATCTTTGTCCATGTTACCACAGGAGGTGGATTTCCCGTCGCATTACAGAAAATCTCAAAAGTGTCTGTTTCATTGGCCAGTTGATGGGCAGGAAAAATGGAATGGATATTTGGAGACTCTGTTGAAGAACACGAGCACATTAATATTTAGTCTGTGATTTTTCGTTCAAATGCTGCATTGTTATCATTGCAAGGAGTGTACGTAACAACAGTTACCAACACAAAGCGATACGAAAACGTATATAGACATTTAGTTTCTCTCGACATCGATTTCCAGATATAAAGGTGCCAATCTATTGCTTTCAGTGAAAACCAGTTCATCAGAAAAATAGGACTCTCCCTGGTACATGCGTCATTTTACTGGGTGTTCATTCGCACGTCTAAGTGTCTACTCTCTGCCACCAAGAGTAAACGGGTATTGACGTACAAACTGGCAAAATTCTTGGGGATGGAAGGGTGGGGCGCCCAAAAAGAGACACACACAGCGTCATCACTGCCTCCATCCTGTAATATAATTTCCGTACTCAATGAGTAGTGGTTTTTTGTCCAAAAAAGAAAAATGAATTTCCAAAGAGGTAACGTGTCGTTACTTCAAACTACCATTTTAAAGGACATAAATAACCACATGCAAAAGTAAGTACTTGAAATATGATGAAAAACACTTTTCTGACTAGCATGTTTGCTCTGGAACTTTCGGTTGAAAATAGGAGTGTTATATACAGCTACACAAATTACCGTACTCACCATAAAGAACAACAGTGACATTGACCTCCTCTGAAGCCGCAGTATTGGAGCAGTTACAAGTGTATTCCCCTTGATCTGCCGCTGTGAAGTTTCGAATATCATAAAGACTGTCATTGACGTTAACCAAGGCACCCTCATGGTAAATTCGACAAATTGGTTTGGGGTAGCCAAGAGAAGAACACCGTATTGTAACAGCTTCACCGAGAGCGGCTACATTAGCAGAGACGTTGGTACTGATGGCGGTGTCCCTCGGGAATCCTGCGGAAATAAAACATCACCTCAAGTCTTATAGTTTACGTGCTTAGAACAGGGTCAGGGAGGATAGGCGGACAAATTTAACTGAACAAGATTCAGTAATATATATGATAATGTACGATACGTGATATCAAGAGAGGCAAAATACCAACCTATAACGTTGAGCTGCGTCATTCTCGTGTCATTTGCCACAATATTAATCGCCGAACACTCATAGCTTCCACCATCTACAGAGGAGATGTTGACGAGAGTGATGTTACCAGTAGACACACTGTCTTGAAGAACAATGCCATTTTTCTTCCACACAACACGCGGTGTGGGCCGACCAGTTACTGTGCATACCAAAGTTACTTCTTTGCCAAGTTCGGCTGTTTGACTGGGAGAAATCCACAGAATTCTAGGGGGAACTGAAGAGAAAACATGTACGTAGTTTATAATATAAACAGTATACTCACTCTTAGAGACAATTAAACACTGTGATAAAAAAAAAAAAAAAAACATTTACCCAAACGCTTAACAAATTGCGTCTCACAATACTGGTCCAACAAAGAACCATGACACTGACGTCAATACCGTGGTAACGTTTTGTACATTTTGCAATGAAAAAGAATAACAATCGATTTGGAAATATCACTTTGAGCTGCGACCAAATTATCAGGACATGCGTTAAAAATAGACCTGTGGTCAGCCAGGAGAGTTGGACCGAATGAAGTCGGAAGCTCTCGTCAATTCTACAGACCTCCAAGCAATAATAAGCAGAAGTAAAAGTCATTTGTCACAATAGTTTAATATGTATCGTTCGCTCATAATGAATTTGTCACATTGCAAAACATGTGCCAAAGTGTGAGATGTTTTTGAGTTTTCTTTTTGTTAATTGTCTGTTTATTTACAATAAATTTACACCAGGAAATTGACAAAGTGTGAGATGTTTGGGATCAATGAGAAAACCAAGAAAGATAGCAAAACGCGTCTGTAACTTTTTAGTAGAAATATTCTTTATAATTCTCAAACGTTCAAACCCCACCATGTTACCACAGGGCATATTACCTAACGTTTCAGCCGTTGAGGCACACTTCGTATTTTCTAGAAACTCAACATCATCAATCGCGATATCACTGAATGCAGTACTGCCAACCACACCTTCAAACATGACCTACAGCAAACAGAAATACAAAGTCTTAAAGACACATTAAAGCAAGAAAAAAAGTATGTTAAAACGTTTCCGACGTGAAAAATGTGTCACCCGATATCTTCGGGAAAAGGGAACCTGTTAGACAGCATGTCATAACAAACACTCTACCTTAAGGTAAAGGTAGAGCTCCTGTTTATAGAACGAGAAAGAATGAAAATAAATGCTTAAGAGAGGTGGAGTCTTGCTATCAACACAGTGGGTGATAACATCTCGAACAAGTAAAGAGGCAATTGAAAAGAAACCATGGCCCGCTGTTTTTCTTCGCTGATATCTGGAATGTCAATTTAGAGATGACTGATTGTTTCGGCCATTGGTAGCTTATTTACCCCACTCTAGTTTTTAGACTAGAAGAAACAAAATTATCCTACCCTATATATGCCATCAAAATCAAGGGGCACCGTCGCTTTGTACCAACTGTTGCCTTGGTTGCCTGACAGCTGCCACAAAACCTGATCTCCAACCTTTACTCTGAGGCTACCAATTGAATGTCCATAGAGATGATAGTAGAAAACCATGCACGTGGCGTTCCCATTGCTTTGTATGTATGGTGATTCAAGACTAGCAGTTTCTCCCACGCTTCGTCCTGATGCTTCTATGTAGAAGTACAATCCTACAAAGTGAAAAAAGCAAACGCTCATTGCTTCTAGACCCGAAAAAAGTCATTTTCGACATGACTATATCCTTTCTTTGCCAAAAATGAACACGACTAAATATGGTCTCAAATCATGGAGATATTTTGCCGCAAAGAAACGGAACGAGCTAACAAATGATATTAGAACTAAAGAAGGCTTTAATGAAGTGAACAACAAAATTCGATCGCTTAAGTTTGACTGATATCGGAATTTATTGTGATTTGATTCTCTAGGTTTTTTAGTTCTCTGCGTTCGTAGTTTTATACGATCAATTATTGTACATTTTTAGTTTTAATTTTTAGCATAGACTAGGGTCGTGGATCACCTGTAAACTAACTGATTAGCTAAGCGTACCTCCACGTTCAACAAGTATCTTATCGTATCTTGTGGGTGGGCGGTGGTAAAAAGGGGTGGATGAAAATCGCAAACAGTGAACAAGATGTTTACGGATAAAATAGTGAAGTGTCTTGCAGGCAGATATCATGCTATATCACGTCAATTACGTTGCTCTTACCGGACCCTGAGGTGTGATCCCGTGACGGTCCCGTGTCACGTGATTGAGTTGGACCAAATTGCCTAGTCCACGTAAAGTCCCGGCTTTCAGGCCCATTCTCCCAGCCACAATACCAGATGTCAAAATTGCAACTTGCATCTGTGGAGAGTGTCTCACTTATTCAGTGATAAAGTTCAGCAAACATTGTTACCGTTAGGACCAATAAGAGTTGCTCGCGAGCGATTTGAATGACTTACATTATCAGAACGCATGGCCTGATCAAAAAAACGAAGGAACNCAATCTCAAATGTCCCATTTGTGGACAAAAAATCTTATGTACTTACCAACAGTGACATTGAAGTTAGCTGCAGGCCTTTCTTTGAATGGACTTTTTACACAGTGTGCAGCAGTGACAATCCAGTAATGATCCAAGATGGAGGCACCACAGATGTGAGGGATACTCTCGCTGATGTCAAAGTATCCCAACTGTACCTGCCATGGCCACTCCCCAGATTTAGCGTACTCCCCTGCTACGATCTGAGGCGACCATGAATGATACACACGTTTAACACCACAAGGACCTAGCGAGGAAAAAAGAAACTATCTTAAAATCAGGTTAAGGACGTTACACGTTATTAGAGCGGTTTATTTTCCCCATCGGCTAGATGTGAAGGCACGTTCATAAAGTTTATGTATGTTATAAAACAAGAAGCGCGCGTTTTGGTTTTTAGGACGCATTAGTGAAAACGTTCGTGGATAACATTGAGTTAAATTAAAAGAAATGTACCTCATTAACTTTATTATTGTGTCTAGACCCATAGCTTACCCCAAGTTGCCAAGTAATTTGGCATACTCATACGAAATAACAGATTTACCGACTTACCAGGATTAATACTTGCTCTTTGTGCAATGGATTGTCATGCAAAAGCTAATTAATACCACAACATTGTTTGTCCAGTTCATATTTTCTACAACTCAAGTCACTGACCTACAAATGTGACGTTCAGGGCGGCTCTTTCTCCAGGCCCAAAATCGTTGTAAGGTACACACACGTATGATCCATTATGCTCTGCTAGTGCGCGTGTGATGTTATGGGCACCAGTGGATGCATTAGACACTAGGATACCATTGTGGTAAATGTTATACGCAGTAACAGGTGGGTTAGCATTTGCGCTGCAAGTCAGGATAATTGACAAGTTTAACACTCCGACGTTATCCGGTATTGATGCCTCTAGTTTGGTGTCATATGGCTTATCTGTGGAACAAGAAAGATTGTGCTAGGATCAATTGAGGCGTGTGATCATAATACGAATCTTTAGGACTCCTCATATCACAACCCTGGTCTTAAAACGAACTTGAGCTCAGTGAGATATTTTCATATCTTCAGCCATTATAATATTCTTATGCGACAACACAAACATGCCAAATGTTTACTGCCCAACGGGCCTCAAATTAGAAGTTGTAAACCTATTTAACTATATATACTTTTAACATCAAGGCAGTACTGTCAATTATCTATTTCAAGCCTTAGCTATCCTGTTCTCAATCAAAGCAGCTGAATGCTAGCATACACTTTAATTGATCCTTTTTCTTGATTTTGTCATTACGAAGACTATTGTTTGTCATTAAACAGGTTTGTGTACTCACGTAACACGTTCAGAACAGCAGTAGCAGTATCAGGCAGCCCAACTCCATTCTTAGCTTCACACACGTACGTTCCTGTATCATGTCGACTCACATTCTGTAGAACAAGCTTTTGACCTGATGGAAACACTTTGTTGCTGTCTCCAAGCTTAGTCCAGGAGATTTGAGGTACAAGACTCTCATATGGATAATAAGAGGTACCATTACAGAAAAATGACACACTTGCACTTTCGTTCACTGTCATGTTTCGTGGAAAGTGAATGATAGAGAAAGGACCTGGGGAAAGGAATTATCTAAATGAGTAAGATACAACGTATTAACAACATCTACTGCGGGCCAACGTTACTAGATTCTTTCTTTTCTCCTTAGAGTTAGAGGATCTCGGAACAAAAATGAACAAAACATCTTCAACTGGTTACAATGATAACCCACTCGATATTTATGAGTATTACTCACCATTGACAAAAACTTGGACAGAACTGTTAGTGCCAACCCCAAGACTGTTGAGTGGCACACACAGATACGTGCCCGCATCATAGTATCTGGCTTTCTGGATCACGTGTATTCCGGTAAGACTGGTTCTAAGGTAGACACCGTCACGATAAAACTGGTATTGGCTGGGCCGCGGGTTTGCGTCAGTCACACAAGACAGTGCAATGCGACCGTTCCCACTGACTGCGGCATTCACTTTATCGGTAAATAATCTAGTGGATGATGGATTATCTACAAGGAAGAATAAAATTGTATTGAGACACAAACAGAACTGATAGGTCCACGTATTTGATTTAAACAAATATAAAAAAAAATTATCGCTTCAGTATTTTCTACACTTACAAAGAACATCAATATATACTGATGTAGATATCGGATTTCCAACTCCATTATCAGCAACACATCTGTATTCCCCGCGATGTGACCGGTCAGCTGTCAAGATCTTAAGAGTATTTCCGAAAGCCACTGTGTTGCCGTCTCTAACTCTAACCCAGGACAGCTGAACTCTTGGTCTGCCTGTGGCATTGCAGTACAATGTAACATTCCTTTTGTCTTTTTCCAAAATGGTGATATTTTGTGGACTGTAGTCGATCGTTGGTGAAACTGTAAATAACAATTAAAACACATTAAGAATATACTAAATTACGGTTTTTAAAAGAACAGTACAATATGAGGAGAATGAGAAATCGGTTCAAGAAGCGTTACAGATGAACAATATTCAATATTTAATACCCTGTTCACACCAGCTAAACTAGTTAACTAAATAAGGTTTAGGTTTTTCGTATTTGTCGATAAGCTTTGCAGTCATTTTGAAAAGTCAAATTTCAAACTACCTTGCTCAATATTTTATTCAAGGTAAGATAAAGGTTGTGCACGCTATGAACTAATGGCGAAGGAAGGCAGTAGCTGCATTCGCCTTAAATAATTTCTATTTCAAACTACAGCGAACGATTCTTGTTTACCAACCTGAATAAAACAAGCACTGTTCTCTGAGCTATCGCATTTTAGTTCGACGCCGAAAAGAATTCATAACCTGAAATTTGTGCTGAGTGAAATTTTACAAGTCAGGAAACTATAGGAGAAAGTTATAAATACTTAAAGTTAACTTACAGTTGTCAATCTCAGCTGTAGCTACAGCGGAAATATTCTCGCCGCGCACACTCTCAGCCGTGCACTGGTAGGTTCCAAAGTCTGATTTCTCAGCATTTTGCACTCTCAGTGATTTTCCTGTGGGGTAGACTTTGTTGTTGTCGCCAATCTTTGTCCATGTTACCACAGGAGGTGGATTTCCCGTCGCATTACAGAAAATCTCAAAAGTGTCTGTTTCATTGGCCAGTTGATGGGCAGGAAAAATGGAATGGATATTTGGAGACTCTGTTGAAGAACACGAGCACATTAATATTTAGTCTGTGATTTTTCGTTCAAATGCTGCATTGTTATCATTGCAAGGAGTGTACGTAACAACAGTTACCAACACAAAGCGATACGAAAACGTATATAGACATTTAGTTTCTCTCGACATCGATTTCCAGATATAAAGGTGCCAATCTATTGCTTTCAGTGAAAACCAGTTCATCAGAAAAATAGGACTCTCCCTGGTACATGCGTCATTTTACTGGGTGTTCATTCGCACGTCTAAGTGTCTACTCTCTGCCACCAAGAGTAAACGGGTATTGACGTACAAACTGGCAAAATTCTTGGGGATGGAAGGGTGGGGCGCCCAAAAAGAGACACACACAGCGTCATCACTGCCTCCATCCTGTAATATAATTTCCGTACTCAATGAGTAGTGGTTTTTTGTCCAAAAAAGAAAAATGAATTTCCAAAGAGGTAACGTGTCGTTACTTCAAACTACCATTTTAAAGGACATAAATAACCACATGCAAAAGTAAGTACTTGAAATATGATGAAAAACACTTTTCTGACTAGCATGTTTGCTCTGGAACTTTCGGTTGAAAATAGGAGTGTTATATACAGCTACACAAATTACCGTACTCACCATAAAGAACAACAGTGACATTGACCTCCTCTGAAGCCGCAGTATTGGAGCAGTTACAAGTGTATTCCCCTTGATCTGCCGCTGTGAAGTTTCGAATATCATAAAGACTGTCATTGACGTTAACCAAGGCACCCTCATGGTAAATTCGACAAATTGGTTTGGGGTAGCCAAGAGAAGAACACCGTATTGTAACAGCTTCACCGAGAGCGGCTACATTAGCAGAGACGTTGGTACTGATGGCGGTGTCCCTCGGGAATCCTGCGGAAATAAAACATCACCTCAAGTCTTATAGTTTACGTGCTTAGAACAGGGTCAGGGAGGATAGGCGGACAAATTTAACTGAACAAGATTCAGTAATATATATGATAATGTACGATACGTGATATCAAGAGAGGCAAAATACCAACCTATAACGTTGAGCTGCGTCATTCTCGTGTCATTTGCCACAATATTAATCGCCGAACACTCATAGCTTCCACCATCTACAGAGGAGATGTTGACGAGAGTGATGTTACCAGTAGACACACTGTCTTGAAGAACAATGCCATTTTTCTTCCACACAACACGCGGTGTGGGCCGACCAGTTACTGTGCATACCAAAGTTACTTCTTTGCCAAGTTCGGCTGTTTGACTGGGAGAAATCCACAGAATTCTAGGGGGAACTGAAGAGAAAACATGTACGTAGTTTATAATATAAACAGTATACTCACTCTTAGAGA